AATGAAACCCCACCTTCAGCATCGGTTTCAATCAGAACGTCGTCCCCAACCGTCAACATAGTTTTAACGGTTTCGCAGCGAAGCATTGATGGCGTAAAGCGAAACTTTTCCGCTGTGTGCGAGTTTACTTCCACAACATTGGGCACAACACCATACTTCACCAACTAAAAAACAGATTTCTGTTTTCAGACGAAAACGTCTATAATATCTTAATATTCTGTATAACGAGTTACACGTCGATCTGTGGAGTGTCAAAAAGGTCTTCTTTGAACTCCGGAGGTGCCGGGTTTGATTCCGTTCTAGGGCAATCATAGACTTTATACGAATTCCTTTGAGCAAGGAATCTACCACACATTGCTTCAGACCGGGCCGCCCAGTTGGCAGAGCACTGAACTCAGAATCGAGAGTTTCGGGATTCGAGCCCCAGTTAAGGACGCTTTTCCTTCTTCCTTCCGAGGTTGATAAATGAGTACCAGTACCACTTTGTGGGAAGTAAACAGGGAATGCCATGCTACGCTGTAAACTCTGCCTTTAAACTAAGGCACTTCAAGATGATAGCCTAGAAACGGAGATCAGCACCGCACCATCAAATTCATGAAAAGAATTGCACAAAAAGGGCATAATCAAGAAAAATGAAGAATGACCGATATTTCAACCGCAACAAAATTTCCTTCGCGCAATACTTGTATATCATAAAATACACCATTATGCATTTTGGATATACATCGTTTATGTCATAGCATATGAAAAGTATCAGACCCTGAAACATCGTTCATGATAAGCATGAGGTAGCTCTAGCGACAACATGATACGAGATGCATCTTAGACTGAAAGTGTTCAACTTCCATGGATCCGTGGCTTTCTTCTTCCCAGGTAACTAAGAACAAGGAGTCGGTGAATACGTTGTGATATCCGACACTGGAGACGTTATGCGCCCTTTAGCCCCTCCGGCATACGAATACGTTTCGTTTCTCATAGTAGCATGACACATTTTTCTCTAGCCACTAACGCAGTACGGTAATAATTACATAATATGGTACCAGCTATATCTAGATGCTTTACTGAATTAAAACTAGAAAACTCATGTCGTTGTTACAATACACTAGCAACTATAAACAGATATACTACAATCATGCTATTGTAATTTTCTATATACTACTAAATAGTATCAGCTTAGTGCAATATCTATAAGTGTAGTATTATATCTACAAAAACTATACAATATTAGTTCAGTACGGTAAAAAATAAAAACTTGCGGTCCAAAGCATATTCAAGTGCAAACAACCATAACACCTTATATTAAGTAAAGATTCAACGTCCTGTGGCAGATTTCAGGAACGTCACAATTAATTCAAATACTCATCTGCACAGCTTAAGATTTCTGAACTTCCATCTAAAAATGTTTTACTCTCTAAAGGAAAGTTTTTAATCCTCTCGAAGGTCGGTCTTCCATCACTTACATGATTGGGCCAATTCTTGTAACACTGTTTTCATGAAGTTAATGGCAAGGGCACTGATATCTATTTTCATGTCATCAGCCAGGAATGCCTATTTTATAGGCAGAAAAGACAGCAGCTGTGTGATAAACATATTCTGCATTCTCCTGTATTGTTTCCACTCACTTATCAGAATAGTACTCATTTATTAACCTCAAAACGGAGAAACGCGAGTTACCCGACCGGGAATGGAACCAGGGACTTCTCGATTCGAGTCTGACTCTACCGACCGAGGAACCATCAGTCTGAAGCAATGACTGGTAAATTTCTTGCTCAAGAAAAGTCATGATAAACACAAAGATTGTATGCCGGGGAATCGAACTCGGCGCCTCTTCCAGCTCGAAGCTAACCTTTCACGCACTAAACCATGCCACTGTACCTCTGAAGGCTTGCAGGAAGTGTCGGGGACCTGACCTTCGAAAGCCACGGAGAGTTTCATTTTCAAACGCGATGCCCACAGGTTGTAAAGTTTTCCATCTTTGGGCACATACTTTCTTGAAGGTGCTTCATCATCTCTATAAACAACGAAGAATGCGCATGAAATATCAATTGCAGCGAAAACTATAATAATGACAGTACTTTAGCAGGCGATGATCTCCAGACGTGGGAGTTTTTGAAACAGGGTATGCTGCGACGCTTTTCGGCATAAGTGGCTTTGTACATTTTCTGGGTGGAAGAAAGGGGCTTCGGGTACCTCGGCCTCGAGGAAATTTTGGCCTCACGGAGCGAGGCGAATCGCAATTACTGAGGTCATGGACTATCTCAGCAGGTACTTCGCTGGCCTTGGCAATGGCTGCTTCGGCGACAAACGATTGATGAACCTTTTTGACCGAGTTCTTGCTGATCAGTATCGCTTTGTCACTGGTAGTGTCGAAAGCAGAGGCAACGACAGAGTGGTCCGCTTCTTTCTTGATGCCAGTCTCCAGGTCGCGGTGTTTCACGGCAAACGATTGATTATCGCTGCTCATTTCTAGAGCCGGAAATATCTCCTCACCACTTTCATGACTGGTCGTCAGCAGGGCAGCAGCTTTCTCGAGCGATTCTTGCTTGACTCTAATTGACTCCCCTCCAGCAGTTTTGAAACCGACCATAGATACAATGGTAGATTCATCACGCCTACTTCCTGAAACTGGATTACGTGGTAAAACAATAACACTTTCTATGGATTCTTGCTGAACATCCATCTTGTCAGTTTCCGGAGTCAGAAAGTCTTCGTCGTTACTTTGATAGCTCCTTGCCAACAAAGAAGCGGCATTTTCTAGCGACTCTGGGTTGACGCTGATTGACCCGCCTCCGGCAGTTCTGAAACCGACCATGGAGATAGGTTCGTCCTGCCTTTCTAAGAAATCCGGGTCTCGCAGTATAGCCATAGGGTTTTCTACAGATTCTTGCCGCACGTCCAACGCTCTGCCACTGGTC